TTATTACCTCGGTTGAATGACAGTAATGGTCAACTCCGCGCTCTCGATAGACCAAATAATATCCTTGGACCACCCTGGTCTTAATTTATCATGACTCCCTCTCCACTAACCAGACACCCCACTCAATATGTTCATTTACGGGGTTGCCCAGGGCATTGCGATGACGTACCGCGGCTGCCATACTCGGTCTGATGGCTTGCCAATGGTTCACCGTACCTCTGCTGTTTCCAGATCCAGCGCGTTCCACGCGCTCACATGAACATTCTGATCCGCTGAATGTGTCAACCCTTCGAAGCACTGGCCACCTTGTTCAACTGTCTGTTTTTGCTGCCCACAAATCCATTAATTCCTCCCAAATCACCACTGAGACCTCATTACTCTGACGTACTTAAAACAATATCGTGCACACAGTGCAGCGTGTGCTCACAATCATAAAAAATCCAAAAAAATTCTTGTGCTGCGATGAAATTTCGTTTTGTTCCACGGGATGCCCTCTGCAACGATTGAAAGCTTTTATCTGCCTAAGTGGTTGCTCAACTTTGAGTTTGCGCGAGCAACAACATTACCATTGTTCATGCACTCTTTCAGGATGATTCTAAACCCCATGCATGATGAAACGCATGAAGAAACCAAGTTCGCCCACCAACCAACCAATCTGCCGCCGTCTAGACGGGGATAAAGTTAAGCAAAGGCAGCCAGTAATTCTACACCCAAAGTAGACCTTGAGTGCGCTCTTTGAAAGTTTTGGCTAAACCGCTAACCCCGATGGATTTTATGGTTTCGAGTAAATAGCCTCAAATTCGGGACTTTGGGTAAGCTCCTTCCTCCTTCGAAGTATGAGTTGGGAGGAATTTGTGGGTACGTCTAAAAGTGGGCTTATACCAAGAGAGGGGTCTTGGTTACTCGCTGACGGAACATGCGTGCCACTATAAAGACTTGTCACAACATTATTCCCTAGGCAGCTCGTCAACCGCCACTGAAACGGTCTTCCCCGAAACACAGAAATAAGCTTATTAGCAATCTAAATCCACTTGTGCCCTTTCAAAACGTTTGATGTGCGAAACCCTTACTTATCTGGAACAATTTGTGCACCACAATATTTGTTGAAAGTAGACGGTGCGGTTTCGACTGTGTGTTGTCGATAGGCCTTCAATGCCGTTGATTCTGGATAGTCTAATAATAGGTTCTTCTATAGTCTACCTCGATGCAACATGATAACATTGATTTTAAACCACATACCAAGTCCAACGGCAAACATTCTCACTGTTCCGCTAGTCCAGCTACCAAAATATCGTTTAAAATGCATTCCCTCGATGTTTTAATAGCGGTGGGCCCTTAAACACTGTGTCGTAAATGGCAAATAACCATTGTTTTCTGCTCGCCTTAGATACTACTCAGGTGCATCACTCCAAGTATGCAAAAATACAAGCCATTTGGTGAATTTCTGGAACATTCGTAGCTTGGTGTAGCTGAACTCGTAATTGTTACGTCAACTGTGAATCATAAACCCTATTGCATCCCAAGGTGTGAAAAAGCACCAAAATCCGGTGTGAATATCAGTTTGCTTTAGCATCAGGTTCACAGTACGCTAAACTCATCAACCCTGCAAGGTAAGGGTAGAATTCAGCGCATGAAACAAAACCTCAGTTTGATTGAGAGGAACCATTCGTCATTTTGAATAGTGGTGAAAAAATGGCTAATCTGCACCTCAAGATTTATGGTAGCCCGCCGGGTACCGACGCTGAGCAAACACATATGAAACGGAAATGCCTCTAAAGAACGACGTCGTTAAATTAACGGCGGCTTGAAACAATCTGTGTTCATCGAGCAGGCGACATATTGCGTTAAGAATAATCGGTCCCTGACCTCACTTGTAATCTAAATTTTCGCTTTTCCCTTTATTGCAAGAGCAAATTTATACCTTGGAAACCTAGTTACGCAGCTTATCATCAGCTTTGCTGGATTGCTTGGGGGTCGGTTTGCAAGCTCATCTACTTTCACTGCTTGCTGTTCATTACCTTTCCCAAAAAGTTTGAAACATAACTGAAAAACGCAAAGTTTACGGAGACAAAAGGAACTGAAAAGCAAACTGAGAAAAGTGAAGGAAAACCTACATTTATTTATTTCAATGAGGTGCCTGGTAATTTTTACCAACGCGCATCACCTATTCTCGTACTATCCGAAGCAATATGACATTAGTCCTCAGGCGAGCTCTGACGCCAATGCGCCATCCGTCCTTCTGAATCCATTGAAACACTTGAAACACTTGGATCTGACGGACCCCTTTCAGTTGGTTTGCCCGAAGTGCGGAAGGCTTTCACAGTGGATCAAACTTTGCCGGTAAAGCACTAAGCACTAAAATGAGCAACCAAACATCATAATGATAATGGCTGATTACGTGAACGTCCGCTAGCACCGACCGCTATTTTCAACAAGCGGCTTGTTAAATGGCCTCGGTATGTTGCCGATGATGCCAGATTGAAATCGGATCAATAGCAGCTGAGTGTACGTGACTTGCTACCAGTGTCCTACAGCTCTCTCTGTCTGCGTCCCTGGTACACTCCTAATGCTTCCTTTTGGTGAAAAATCTAGCTGCATCTCTGTGGTGAGGTCTGAGATTGTTAGAACGGATACACAAAAGATTGTTTGCGCCATCACTTAAGTGCTTTACACTACAGCGTTTGCCATGGCACCCGTTGTACTTTTTATGTTTCCTTCCTCCAAGACCGGAACCCGACCTGTACGTTACTGTAGGTGGAATTATTTTGAGGTCAAGCGTCGTCGTTTCAACGGAGCTACCAAATTACATTTTGGCTTTGCAGTTCATTTGGCACCGTTGCAATATTACAAAATTATGTTTACAACACTGGAAGCTAATGAGATTGTCCGCTGTTGACTATTTCCACGATGGATGTCGCAGAAAAACTTGTAAATTTAGTTAGATCAAAATGTCCTCTTTTTCCCAACCGCGTTTTTTAAGGCTAAATCTGTTAAAAGTGAGCAAACGGCTGGCTGACGTTGCGCTCATTCAACGGGCCAGGAGGGGGCAGACATATGGTTTGCGGACCCACTGGTCCGCCATGGTTCTGATGCTTGCAGTTAAGTTCATTTGTAGGATTCACGAATTGATACACAGGATTGAGGCCTTTGCCCAGGTTTCCCTGTTCGCTTTTGTTCTTGTTGGTCAGCGGCTCTCGTTCACCTGGAAGGCGCAAGTGAAAAAAGGGTGTAGCACTGCTCTTTATGTTCTCAGCGCGGGGCAGTACGCTCGCCAGCGAAAGGAGGATTCGCATAAATAAGTGCCTAATAGTGCTTTAAACTGGGGTCTAGAAGGAGCGTGAAAAACCGTCAGAGGAAGGTCATTCCACGCAGCTACTACCCGAAATGAGAAAAAATTTGTCTAATGAATGTGTGTGCTCTTAGCTTGAAGATTTTCTTACTATGTCCCCGCCGGGTGTTTGCTGGGTCAACGGTGAAAAACCTGTTGGCCAAGCTTTGTTCAAACAGTGCGACGATACTCCAGGCGAAGGAGATCAAGCGTCGCGTGACGCGTTTCGCAGTCCATGGATTTGAGGCCAGCGACAATTTTCATGGCAGCTCACCGGACACGCTCAATGGGGGTGAGGTCTTTCGTGCGTCCTGAGTAGACAACTTGGTTGGTGTACACTAGCAGCGGTCTAACGTAGGCCCCACAGAGTATTTGGAAGTCCATACGAGTAATACGGCAGAAGGTGCGTCGGATCATCCGTAAAATGGCGAATGCCTTTCGGACTGATTTCTCATGGTGCAGTGAGAAGGACAAGTTTGAGGAGACCCAGATGCCCAAATCCTTTTTGGCATCTATCCTCATGATGTTTTCTGACCCTTTATCACCATGCATAAAAAAGGCATTCGCTGAGTCTCCTCCAAGTGACATATGGACGCACTTTTCGTCATTCAGAGGAGCCTTTATCAAAACGGCTTCAATTTTCCTGCCACTTGGCCGCAATGCAAGGCGCCATCTAGTGATACTGTGGTTTGAGCAAGAAGTTTATGCCGCATGGTAGTGAAGAAAGGACCTTCGAAAACCTGACATAATATTCCTTTTGCACGGTGTGGATGGCTCCCCATGAAGACCACTGATGGGCAGTCCTAGAATTGTCCGCCCTCGTCCGTTGTCGCTGAAAATTGTGGAGCTTTTCTTTATTACTATGGAGGAAGGCTAGCTGTGTGGAATAAATGGCGGGAGGGGGACTGGACATGTCTTGGGTTGCTCTTCAGTCCAAAATTATTACCCCTGGGGTGCCATCAGCGGCTGTCGCGCCAGAAGCTGGATACTGCCCTGCTTCTCACGATAGAGATCTACCGGCTTTAACCACCGAGAAGACCCCGAGACTTGAAACTCCTGGGTTAGTGAGAATTGTGACTACCGTCTGCGTTCAAGATTTAGGGAGAGGCCCCCGAGGACCTTACTTAGGTTGGGCAACATTTGTGACACCTGTCTCACCTTGGATTCTTCATTTTCAGGTTCCTGTGTTTTTCCAACTCCCAAATCATCTTTTGGAAGCGCTTGGTTTTCCGGTGTGACTTCCGGCACGTAATGTGCGAGATGCAGAGTGTTATCAAAGAAGAATGAACCTTGTTGGTAAGAGATAGAAAACCATTGGTAACGATATGTTGCACGGGCGTCCACCACCGTTGACCGTTGGCCTCAATAAATACTTCGTCCTGGCGCCCGTAAGTAACCCGTAGGGCTAGACGTAAAAAAACCGGTTAGCTTGCGGGGTATTCAGTAATTTCCTGCTCACTCTCGGCATCCCGCTACCTTGAAGGTAGTTTCAAACGATGCGCCGTTTTGGCCTTGATACTAATTATGGCATCGGGATTATTTAAAAGCACCCATTGAAGGATATCAGAAATCTTCAGGGATTTTGTCATTGAACTGAGAAGAAAAAGTTCCTTATACTCGTTTTTATTCCTGCCGATTTTTTGAGTGGTTTCTTTTAATTGGCGTATCCCAGGCCGCGGTTCTTCCTGCGCATACCCGCGAAAAGTGCCCCCTGCTGACTATGATTGAGGAGTCACGTGAGACAGCGAACGGCGTTAGTCCGTCGTTCGATGATAATTTTTCCAAACCGGCTTCACTGGGAGAAACCACCGGACTTCCATTATTTTGCGACATATGCGAGAAACAGTTCAATGATCCGGTTATCCTTAGCTGCTTGCATGTTTTCGACCGGGCTTGCCTGAAAGCGTTCGAAAAGCAGGAGGGCATGAATGTATACGTCAAGTGCCCGCGCTGTGGTAGTATTTCGGGTGGCTTGGATACCCTGGAGACATACAATCTTTCTATTGCTGACCCGGCTGTATGCAGTGGGAAGGAGGACTCTCGAGAGACGTCTGTTCAGTGTTCTGTTTGCACTGAAGGGAACGAGGCCGTTTATAGGTGCCTGCATTGCGCGGGGACGCTATGTGAACGCTGTAGAGATATTCACAAGGTAAGGTGGAACACGACTGTTCAGGGCACTTTTAGGTGATTAAGCTATTTTCGCACCACGAAGTTTTAGCTTTGACGGAAAAAGATGCTGAAGATCTCCAACGGAATATGCAGAATTCCAAACCGGTGCCTTGTGCTGTGCATCGTGACTGCATCTATATGTCTTTCTGCATGCAGTGCCACGTAGGTAGTCGTTTTCGCTTTATCTGTCCCCCAGGTCCCTCTGTGCGAGGCTTGTTACGGATCGGACCATAAAGGACATATAACGTCCAGCCTGGATTTGGTCCCAGATCACATTGATTCTCTGGTTTCGTCTGTAATGGACACTTGCACAGCTAAGCAGAGGGTGCTCAAAGAGCGGAGTGATGTACTGCATAACGTTCTCGTGGATCTTAGTGCATCTCGCGACAAGAATAGCAACAGGATCACGGATACGTACAACCAATGGAAACTTGCTCTGGATAGAATTAAGGTAAGACCTAGCTCGAGGTAATGTGCTGCTTCAGGAGCAATGTTTGCAACGTAACCGGGAGCTCCACGATGACATCGAAGTCAAGCTTTGGGGAAGAATAAACGATATTGCGAAGGTGGTAGACCATGTTGATTTCGCATGCGAGTTCTCGAAGTCATACCTGAAAAGATGCTCGAGTATTGAAATGTGTAAGCTAACGAAGAATGTGTTGGCATGCTTTGACCGTTTGGAGAAATTCCATCTAGCGAATGACGAACCATTTGGTATTGAATTCACATCAAGATGTGCTCCCCAAGACTTCATTAGGCAACACTTCGGCGGTTTTGACACTCCTGCATCCAATTCCTCATCGGTCTCCACAGCAAATGATCCCTTGTTTGATTCTTTGGTGCGCTCGAACTCTCATATTGGTAGTATTGTTGGGACTGGTGATGTTTCAGATGATCTGAAGCGACTCAGCTTGAAAATGGATAGCGGACTTGGCAATGGGCACAGCATTTCTATGGATGGTCCCGCAAGGCCACTGGTTTCGATCAGTCCCACTGAAAGTCAAGTTTCTAATCGAGGAGCAACGAATCTAACCGGTCTTCAACTCGGTGCACCCCTGGGCAACGGGGACTTAGATCCTTTTATCTCACATCCAGGAGATTCTACTGTTATGAACAGACCGGTGACCAACTGGGGAGAGCTGACTGTTGGACTTAGTAATCTGGAACAGCCAGAGTACCTTCCAGGCGTTCAGAACGTCGACGCTTCTTATTTGCATCCCCAATTTTTATCTTCTGGACTCAATCAATCTGTCCCGCGTCCTGTTGGTAACTGCACGGCCCTGTCGTCCCTTGACTCCGACCCTGGAATGTTGCTTAAACAGAGGCTACCGGTGAACTACAACGCCAATCTGTATGAGTACTGTCGGATGCGTGCTGCACGGTGCTCCCAGATGAATCTTTTGACAAAATGGGGTTCACTTGGCTACGAGTTGGGCCGTTTGAACTCCCCTCACGGGTTCTGTCTGGGCTTTGAAGAGGAAATTGTTGTGGCAGACACTTACAATCACCGTATACAAGTAAGCTTGGCTACTACCACTAGCATCATTTTAGATTTTCACCAAACGTGGGGACTTCGTGTCATTTTTTGGGGTATCCGGCCGTGTCGACGGCTTGTTGTGGTATCCCAGGAAAGTGGCAATCATTAGACAGAGTCAGCGTTATGTGGTTTGCGATCGTGGCAATGAAAGATCACGGATGCAACTTTTCAGTCGAAGTGGTCACTTCGTTCGAAGGATCCCGATACGCTACATTGATATTGTTGCCGGTCTGGCAATCAACCAACACGGTACTCTCACTAAAATTTATTAACTCTCCCTAGGTCATATTGTTGCCATTGACAGCGTATCTCCCTCTGTGTTTGTTGTGTCGGAAGAGGGCGATTTAATACGATGGTTTGATTGCAGCAGTCATATGCGTGAACCTTCTGACGTCGCAATACACGGACGAGAGTACTACATATGCGACTTCAAGGTGAGTGTGCATGCCCTGAAGTTTGAGCACAACTTTGATTGTAAGTTGGACTTAGGTAATGCGGTTGTTCCAGTTGATTGTACGATAGGGATTTGCAACGGAAGGTCCGTGGTTTCAACCGACCTCTGCCTCGACTTCCCTCGACAGACTGGCGGTATCCAATCTGTCGTGCTTCTTTCTAGTGACATGGCAGCTAGGCACCGAAAGGGTGCCGCAGCTGAACCATTTTAAACAGACGTATATTGCTCCTCTGAGATTTTGCTGTAGGATCCCAATACAGGCTTACTCTTGCTATAATTTAGTGCTCACAACCACGGTTGCTCCTCCGAGGTTGGCGCTCCACTCAGGATGACTGGTTAATCTACTCTTGTCGAAATGGTCGTATTTTCTAGACTTTACCCCGCAACATACACTCAATACAGATGGCGCAAACTCTACCTGTGCGTGTTCATTAGTGGCCACTATGCTCCAGCCAGTGGTTACCGGGCGTTCTGGGGGATGTTGGTACCACTGAATGAATTTATGGCAGTGAGGCATCAGTATCAACACCAATGTTACTGTTTCTGGTCATGATGTTCATAGCATACAGAAAAGGAGTAGCATCTCCCGGATACGCGGACGACCAGGTTGACAAGTTAGGAATGGACAAGAGTAATAACAGCTGGGCACTCAGAGCCTGCCGGAATTGCAGCGAAGAATGCCTAACTCTAATTTCATGCAGACAGCAGAACATTTCTTTCAAGTGCCAACTCCTGCAACGACTGCCGAAATTAACTAGTGCTTTTACATCGCAGCCATTTTTAGTTGGCGCTGCTGCGTTCAAGTTACAGATAATTTCTGAACACAGTTTTTGTTCGCTTTCGTGGGCTGTGCAAGTGCCACAATAGACATGCATAATGACGCTTTGGATATAGCATCCTGGGGTTAAATACCTGCAAGTAAGTGGACGGCCTATCGGCTAGTCAGCGTTGAGGTGCCTACAGTGACGGAAAATGGGTCTATGTGTGGCGCTTTGTAGAAATCGGCGCTTTCCCCCAAGAGACTCCCCCAAAGGAAAGTTGTTTTTATGAAGAGTGGCATTGTCCGGCCCGAATTTAGTCTCACACGCAATTGAGAAAATGGGCCTGGACACTTAGGTTGTACGAACACTGTTGCTTTCCTAAACACTAGGCTGTTAGTTTCGGAGTTTATGACCTGGTCTGTATGTCGAACTAATGTCTCCAGGGAAAGCCTGTTCGCCAGCTCGAGTCGACAGTAATACCATTCAATAGCATACGAGCCCTTTCCTAAAAAACAATCAGGATCATGAGGCGAAGATACCAGCTACATTAACCCTCGAGTGTTGGAGAAACAGTGCACAGGATGTCCATAAAACGCCCGGAACACTGATGTGTGCACTGTTGTGTACACAGAGCCACTTCTAGCATCGTTTCTCACCACTGCTCAATGTTGAAGTAATAAAGTGGGTCGTTACCGCACCATCTATCCAAGTAATCCTATGTGCAAGGTGCCTGAGCCAGCGTAGGTACTGGAACACTGAAAGTCGATTGATGACAGGTCTGTCTCCCACCACATTCCTGGACCAGAATAAACGTCTAACGTGTCGACATGTGGAGTACTGATGTTTGAAATGTAATGAAGGCTTCTGATAAAACTTGTCCTGTTCCTGTGAGTATCAAGGTCATGGAAGAAGTGGCTGGGTAGCAGTGACCTACCGAAACGGTTGTCCAAAGTCCATCTGAAAAATGCCTCAAGCCCATAGTTTTCATGCTATCGGTTTATTGTATGGTAACGCGCATGGTTGGAACAACCGTAAATCTCCACTACCTAGTTTTTGTTCCCAAGGGTTCTTTTCAACAAAATATCTTGGTTATGGGATAGGAGCACTGATGTCGCTATGGTTGTTGACGAGGCAGTATTAAGTTTGGGTTTGGTGCTACTGGGTTTTCCTTCGTCCTCGTCCGCTTTTCAGGTGAAGGACGCACACAAGAACTTTCCTGTTCCTAACAGCTGGATCTTGTTTACTCGTCTTTGGGGGTGTGATGACTGAGCACGAATTTACTAATCGGAAGATCTCTGGTTCGAACCCGACCTCTGCATCTCGACTTCCCCTGTGTAGACTTGCGCCAGGTATCCTTCGGGTGACATGGCAGCTAGGCACCGAAAGCATGTTGCAGCTGAACGGTCCCTTATTGTCTATGAAAGGATGGTCGGGGAATGTTTCGAGTTTTGGGGTTGAAGAGTTAGTGGGTTGGTCAAGTTCAGTAGCCTTAGCGGACATCGCTCATTCCTGTGAGCTCATATGAGGGCTTGTGAAAAATAAGGCAATGATACCTCCGCGTTGGAGGCGATCGGCCTCACGGTTGATTGATTTTGCGTTCCTTATCTAATGTGGCAGGAATTGTGAGAGATACGCAATGAAGACACCATTTTGAACGCAGGATCGCCATTAGCTGCTTGACACAACCATATCCGTTAGGATCAATGACCATCTGTTTATCTCGTATCGGGGTCCCCATCCGGGACACGACAGTTAGCAACGCAACCAAATTGCCTGGTGATCACTTTCATGCTTTGTTGCCGTGTCGTGAACTGACCGCCCCTCGATGGTCATCCTACACAAGACTGGATGGAGAGTTAGTGTAATAACGACATCCACCATTGTTTGTCCTTCCTTTGGTTGTTGGTCTTTAGACCAAAATCTTTACATACTTTGGGATTCACCTCATCAGACTGGCACTGTCCTTGGCATGATTTCGAATGAAACGTTTCTCTCTTTTCTCCCATATTCTGTTGCTCTTTCGCATTCATCGCTTGCATTCACTTATGTTTGTGACCATACTCTTTAAAAATAAATGATAACTAGTTCTCGGTCTGAACCTCCCAAGTAACGTCCCCGTGAAAATCAACAGCCGAAGGTGCACAACGTACATTAACCCCCAAAACCAGGTCAGGAACACTTGTACAGCGCGCCGTATACAAAGTGTATGCCGCGACAACATTCTGGAAATTCTGGGAGTCCGACGGAGCAACTGTTGGATTTTCTGGGATGATGCCGAGATCAAGTGTCCGGAAGCATCTCTAGACTTAACTTACGCGGTTATTTTGGTAGGATCTGCGAATATGTCGGACGGATTTGGTTTGTGTGGCGTGCCCACCTGGCTAGGCTTACCTGAACCTCGTAGAACACTGCCGTGCCGATGATGAATGTGCCTGGAATCCACTTAGAGTGCCTGCCGCTATAGTTTGAACTTCGCTGAAGGAGCGCGCGGTTGTTTCATGATGCCGGTTGAACTGTTCCTCCATCCTTGTGTTGCGGTGGCTAACGTACATTTTCTGTGACCGTATAGCCTCATGCAGTGTTGGAAGCTTACGCCGGAGCAGTGCCTCTGCTGTTGGCACTTCATCAGATGATTTGGGGTTTGGCATCACTCGATACACCAGCAGGAACCTTTGCAAAATCTTCCGTTGGTGTATGAAGTACATGGCAGGTGGGACGTGATCAACGGAACTATCAAGGGAGAGACCTTTCTTGAAACCCGTCGGCAATAACGATCTGCCGTTTACACTAAATCCGCGCAATGCTTTTGATGCACCGACGGTCGAACACCAAGTGTGTTGGAAGGAGTGCACGCAGTGACCGCATCCCTGGTCCACGAGGAAGGCCAGGTAGATTCTAACTCCGGCCACTTTTGCCTAGGCTTGGACAACCTGGCATATCTCAGCCCTCGTGCTTCCTTCGGGTTGTATGACAGCTAGGCATCGAAAAGCTGGTACAGCTGAATGATTACTTTTTTTTTACTGATCTGGACTGTAGTAATGTACACTTTATTCTTGATAGTCAAGTTGATGTTACGGTACCGTGAATATCGGAGATTAACACATGGTGCCCAGGCCTTGAAATGATCTCGTCAGTCAGCCGGGACTATCCAGATACGCAAACTTATTTGCATTGATCGGTTCACCTACAGGCATTAGGTTTGAATTTGATCTTATTTAATCTTCCAGTAGCGGTTTTTCGCTTCACAGTTGCCAGACATGCCCAACCGTGCAGCAGAATTATGCAGATCATAATGCTGTGCATTTCTAAGGGTTTGGTCCAAAAGGAACTTTCACGTACTGAGCGAACACCAAAAGTATGTCTACCCAAGCAGCACATCGGCTACGAAGTTGAAAAAGGAGCGACAGCGTACACACTTACCTGATGCGGTGATCCCAGGAGAGACTGCTGTAAAAGTTAGCGTCCATGGAGTCCGACGGGCAACTGTTGGATTTTCTGGGATGATGCCGAGATCAAGTGTCCGGAAGCATCTCTAGACTTAACTTACGCGGTTATTTTGGTAGGATCTGCGAATATGTCGGACGGATTTGGTTTGTGTGGCGTGCCCACCTGGCTAGGCTTACCTGAACCTCGTAGAACACTGCCGTGCCGATGATGAATGTGCCTGGAATCCACTTAGAGTGCCTGCCGCTATAGTTTGAACTTCGCTGAAGGAGCGCGCGGTTGTTTCATGATGCCGGTTGAACTGTTCCTCCATCCTTGTGTTGCGGTGGCTAACGTACATTTTCTGTGACCGTATAGCCTCATGCAGTGTTGGAAGCTTACGCCGGAGCAGTGCCTCTGCTGTTGGCACTTCATCAGATGATTTGGGGTTTGGCATCACTCGATACACCAGCAGGAACCTTTGCAAAATCTTCCGTTGGTGTATGAAGTACATGGCAGGTGGGACGTGATCAACGGAACTATCAAGGGAGAGACCTTTCTTGAAACCCGTCGGCAATAACGATCTGCCGTTTACACTAAATCCGCGCAATGCTTTTGATGCACCGACGGTCGAACACCAAGTGTGTTGGAAGGAGTGCACGCAGTGACCGCATCCCTGGTCCACGAGGAAGGCCAGGTAGATTCTAACTCCGGCCACTTTTGCCTAGGCTTGGACAACCTGGCATATCTCAGCCCTCGTGCTTCCTTCGGGTTGTATGACAGCTAGGCATCGAAAAGCTGGTACAGCTGAATGATTACTTTTTTTTTACTGATCTGGACTGTAGTAATGTACACTTTATTCTTGATAGTCAAGTTGATGTTACGGTACCGTGAATATCGGAGATTAACACATGGTGCCCAGGCCTTGAAATGATCTCGTCAGTCAGCCGGGACTATCCAGATACGCAAACTTATTTGCATTGATCGGTTCACCTACAGGCATTAGGTTTGAATTTGATCTTATTTAATCTTCCAGTAGCGGTTTTTCGCTTCACAGTTGCCAGACATGCCCAACCGTGCAGCAGAATTATGCAGATCATAATGCTGTGCATTTCTAAGGGTTTGGTCCAAAAGGAACTTTCACGTACTGAGCGAACACCAAAAGTATGTCTACCCAAGCAGCACATCGGCTACGAAGTTGAAAAAGGAGCGACAGCGTACACACTTACCTGATGCGGTGATCCCAGGAGAGACTGCTGTAAAAGTTAGCGTCCATGGGAGGAGGCATATAGAGCATTAGAGGCTGTGGAGAGTATCGCATCGCTCAGTAGTTGTGTTAGCTCACATGAAATCAGTACACGAACCGTGAATCACGAACACGTGAATCGCTTTTTCTAACTTTTGTCACCCATGGCATCGAAAAAGCATCACTGGATCTGATGTCTGTGTTTGGGATCAATGTTACTGGGAGACGGCTTTGAGTTTTTGACTACTGGTAAAGAAGCTTTGCTGATATCGGATGGCGCCGGCGAATTATTAACCAGGCGATTGGAGAACCAGTGTTTAGTTGTACAACAGGTACTTCAGGCGGGCGTAAGATTCAGCGCCGTCACGTGCACTGGTTCAAGCATGTGATACGCATGTCGAATCATTGTCACCATTGGGTACCTCTATGCATCCTCCACAAGGTACGAACCGCGAGGTGAACGTGTAAGAGATTGTGAGGAGTTTGTGTGTTGACGCAGTCTGCAGTAATAGATCCTCACTGTTACAACGGAACCCTTTTGGACGAGGTCCCTGACACCGACTACATCCTCATTTTAGGAAACTTGCTCGAATGGCATTGCTGGAGCCGGGTGCTATACCAAATATACCACAGACCACCGCTGCAAGGCCAATGAATAGTAAAATGTTGAGATGTGCGTAACTTGAATTCACGGGTCTAAGGGATATGACTGCACCTCCATTTCATTGGTTTGTTTCTGGTTTTGGCATGCGGCTTTAATGGAAGGTCTTGTTCGTCACAGGTATCCTTCGGTCTGTATAACATTTTGTGACCCCTGTAAAGCATCGTAGTCTGATAGTTTGACACTTAGCTTGTTTTCGCTGGTTCGTATCAAACCAGCCACAGGGTAGTCGATGTCCTCTGGGTAGAAAGCTGTTGAGGCACATCAGTGGCCAACGAATCCAGGCGGATGTCATCCCCTGATTTAGAGTTTCTCCATCTTGAGCATCTTGCGTACGGGCTACGGAGCTGCATTAGCCGTCAACACTGCTGTCGAAACAGCGGGTTGAATGTTTTTTAGGGCACCACTTGAGTTCGATAGAAGAAGCATTCAGCTGTAGCACCCTTCCGGTGCCTAGCTGCCATGCCATCTGAAGGAAGCACGAGGGCTGTGATACTGCCAGGTTGCCCAAGCCTAGACAGGGGAAGTCGAGTGGCGAAGGTCGGATTCGAACCACGGACCTTCCGGTCAGTAAATTCGCGCTCTAACCACTTGGGCCATCTCGTCCCAAATCGAGTTCGATAAGTCGAACTTATATCTTGTGGGTCAGTGCAGGGCAGGTGGTCCGCTATGCACTTTGTAGCGTTTCTGCTACACTGGTGGTCGAAAACCAGCTCAGTGCTACTCACGAGACCCTACTTAAGGCGCTGTACGCCCATTCTCGCGGCCGTGTAAAGGTCCACGTGTAGCTCTCACCTGAGTTCACCTTTCCTCTTCAACTTCGTTGTTGATGCGACCATAGAAGACTCACTCCCCGGGCGTCCACTCAGGTATCGAGTACGCAGATGACGTAGCTCTTCTTGGATCTGACCCCGTGGCAATTCAAACAATTTTGAATAATATGAATAATTCCGCCTCACGGCTGGTATGCACTTCACACCTGCAAAGTGTAAAGTGCTACTGCAAGACTGGGTGAGCTCGAAGCCTAGCCTCATGCTTGGGGATGAACTGATTGAGGTATTAGACAAATTTGTTTACCTGGGCAGCTGTGTTAGTCCCGGTGGTCTCGCGAAAGATGATATTTCCAACCGAATTGGGAAGGCCAGAGCAGCTTTTGTGAACGTGCATCACCTGTGGTGCAGGCGTGACATCAGCTTATCCGTCAAGGGTCGAGTTTGTAATGTTGCGGTGCGCTCCACATTACTCTATGGATCAGAAACCGCCGCTGCACTCCGAGGATCTCAAAAGGCCGTCAGTGTCTTCGGAGCATTGCCTGAGTCTCGTAGTAACACCGGATAAACAGTGCTGAAGTACGTCGCATGGTATTCAGGAGAAACAACTCACCCTCGATGGATGAACTGATCACACTGAATAGGTTGCGCTGGCTTGGCCACGTGCTGCGTATACCAGTCGCTCGAAGAGTTCTTTTCGCACAACCACGTGAAGGGTGGAAACGAACCAGAGGCGGTCAAACAATGAACTAGCACCGAAGTATAAAAGCTGTTACCAACAAACTCAGCTGCGTTGATCATTGCCGTATTCCTGGATGGGGACTACGAGACAAGCCACATTAATGATTAGAGACATTGTCAGACATCGCCCAGTCGCGCCCTCAATGACTTCGATGCATAGCTCCCTCCCCGATTCCCCCACTTAACAGTCCACTGATAGTGGTGTATTTACTAATTTATCAGCTCCCGCCTACAGTGCGCAGCTACCTACCCCACACCAAGTCATCGGTGAACGAAACTTTGACAGCTGCAATCACTACGACAAGTACGTGGTTATTACAGCTGACAATGATGATGACTCACGAGACAACATGCTTAAGTAATCAACTCAGTGAGAGGCCAGGTAGCGTTCACTTGAAATGTCAGTCTTTTGGATGTTCCTCTTTGAGAGTCCGCGTGTTTCGTGCTTAATGATTTTAATGTATTTGACATGTTGCGAGAGGTTCTGTCGAACACCAGACTTCATTTGAACACCTTTACCGTCAAAAGTAGCTCGTTTGCCATCTTACAGTGTTAATGTGCCACTAATTTTTGTTGACTACAAGGGTTGATAGTGGGTTGTTTGTTGAGGGAACTTTTTAAAAGTCACGGAAATACCGCTACCTTTGTGTTATCAAGAATTGATGTGTTTTGTTCGCCGCTATGATCCATAAAAGTAATTCCCTCATAAGGGAGGGACCGTTTCCAGTGAATCGTTATTGTGAAGGGGCTATATTTTTGAGTGCTCATTTGTTACAACGTTGCTGCTTTCAGTTCAGTTCCAACGGCGCACTTTTGACCACCACTGACCCTTGGACAGTTCAACAGAAGCGGAGGTCCATCCCCATGTTATCGATAGGGCTTGAGAGCCATTTACTTAATGGGTAAACCATTTTGTTTGGGGAAATCGTCTCGGTTGTCTTGCTTTATTAGTGGAGGATAGCCTGTGTTCAGATTCTCGGCTTGGATTCCTAGTTTAGCAGCGAAAAGTTGTCAGTGGGGAAACGTTTTGCCTTGTTTTCTAGTCCCTTCACGGTATTAAGTCAAGCAGTCGCATTTGATCGGTTCACTTGTAGTCCAGCTATGGGACCAGTGTTCAAACTCGTAAGTTCTCTATGCTTCATCTCACGTGTGATTCTGGATTAAAATGCAACGTTGCTGATTGCCACAACAGTACAAAGGAAGTGCTATCTGACATGCTATCTGAACCATGTACACCAGAAGCATGGCTTCGATGTTTAATGAGGATAGCTAGGTTTAGGTTGACCAGTGTGCCTTAAACGCCTAGCCGCTAACACAAGTATCACACCATTCGACGGTGTTAAGGTTTAGTCAGTATGTCGTAACACATTCATCGTCGTTCAGCTGTAACACCCTTTCGGTACCTAGCTACCATGCCACTCGAAGTACGAGGACTGAGGTACTACCAAGTTACCCAAGCCTAGACAGCGGAAGTCGAGATGCATAGGCCGGGTTCGAACAATGGATCTTCCGGTCAGTAAATGTGCGCTCTAACCGCTGAACCATATCGCCCGCGTACCACTGTAATCTCGAATTCCTAGTCTTAGTCCACCCAAGGTGTAGGTGAACTTTCACTGTAACGTCCTTCATACCTCCTATGGTTCGCGTGACGACTACGCCCCCAGACGCTTTTTCGGCTGAGCGAAACGTCACGGTACTTCCATAGCTGACCCGCTTGCGCACAACACTACAGGTCGTCATAATTTTTTAGCTTTGGATCGTTTCTTGCAAAGGAGTAGACCTTTGGATAACATTTTGTGTTTCCAAGTCTTGAAGAGGTTTAATATCCATTTAATTGATTATTACTTACCCCAGGCCCACTGTGTGATCGTGTTCCAAGAGGATGGAACGTTCATCCGAAAAATTGGTGGTGAAACTATTACAAACTTTCCTAATGGAATCGATGTCAGCGACCACGGGGATGTGCTTGTTGGCGATTCCCATGGCAACCGCTTCCATATCGCTGTTTTCAGTAGAACGGGAGAGCTTCTCAGTGAGTTTGTTTGCAACCAAACCAAAGTGAGCCGATCGTGTTGTCTAAAGATAACGACGGAAGGGTACGTGGTCACCCTTGCTCGTAGTTCCAACAATGTGCTCGTCCTTGACACTCTCTACATATGTTAAGCTCCCACGTTCTCACGGATGCCGGTTCTTTGCCTGCCAAGGCTAAGGTGCCCTTCCCTTTACGCCACGTTCTTCCATTTACCTGGTAGCATTGCTTGTGTGTTTTACTTTAACATTTTGTCTTGGTATTTGATTTTATTGTCTATTTGTACTTGAGATTATTGTCCAGCTTTGGACGATTTTCGTGCTTTGTCGAACAGTCATTTGCCCTCACGCCTGTTAGCTACAGGACGCTCGTGATACTACTACTTTTTCGAGTTATTTACTGTACGTTTTTCCTTCAAGTTTTCACGTTCTCTTTTTCTTATTAGTTTTATGGACTGCCATATGGCTGCAGTGTTTCCCGTGGGACTGGTATTGCGTGATTTTTGGGTGTTCATTCGTCGCGATTTCTCCACAAAACACCGAAAAAAATATTTCGCACATTTTATTGGGCTTCATCCGAAGTTCTAGAACATCGTTAGTTAGCATTTTATCTTAATTGTTTTCACGGTATTTTTGCAATATTTTTGAGATTACGAATTATTGTTTTTTTGTGTTATTACCCCTATTGTATGGATTATTTGCGTTCTTTAGTTTGCTTAGTTCGGTTTACTCGATTGCACTGAACTTTGATCCACTGTTTTCCTCGAACTGGTGAACCCTTTCATGTTTTTTCGGCAATTTCTCGTTACACGTGTGCCTTTCATCAAACCGTTCATGACAGGACTAGACGGGCTAGCTCCGCTATTACTTATCCGTTCATTGAGAAAACGTTCAATTGCTCAACGTCATCTTGGCATTATTGCCGGTCGTATGATCTTCGGTTATTGGTCGCATTTGCACGGCACCTAAAACTTGAAACGCGCTTTCTCCTGTAGACTCCGTTTGAGATCCACTGTTCATTCCATTTATTCACACATTGTGTGCATTCAAAATTTGTCTGTTTTCAAACAACCATCTTCGCTTACAAACATCAACCTGTTCTTGCCCGTCAGTGGCTTGGAAATACGTAAATGGACGCAGTCCAAAGATATCTAATGTCATGTGAGCAATATGATTCCATTTTCAGCTTTTCTATGAAACCCCAAACGTGCCACTTTGACTGTCATTTTGCCCATAGAACATTGTCTGATGGTCTATTTTAAAATTTACCTTCAAGCTTGTATTCCTTGCATATTGGTTTATTAAATTTTTGGAGCACTCCCGCTGTGTCTTTCTACACTGCTGGGGATTTTTATCTTCACGAGAGCTTTGCTTCTACATCAATACCGTAGTACTTCTGACTGCACAGGTCAATCACTTGTAAGTCGGTCGTTTTGGTGTTCTTCGTATGGATTCTATGGTTCTGCTTGAGCACCAATTTAAGGAACTTGATAAGAATCCCCCGCAACACCTTGATGGTTTGGTACCAAAGTGGGTATTTCAAGTACTGGCGCTGCAAGCGCTGTGAATTGTTTGGTGGATGTACCCAAGTTTATCGCCAATATAAGTGTAATTCGCTATCATCATTGTCAGCTGCAAGAACCGCGTACTTGTTGCAACGACTGTAGCTTCCACAGTTTCACAGATGATTTCGGGAGGTGGGGTAGCTATCTGCGCATTGGAGGCGAGAGCTAATAAGTTGGTACGTAACTACAGGAATTTTAAGTAGAGGGAATTGGGAAGCTATGCATTGAAGGCAACAGCTTGAATGCACGACTGGGCCATATCTGACAATGTCTCTAACCATCGATGTGGCCTGTTTCGAGGTCCCCAGGTCCAGGCACGACTGGGCATATCTGACAATGTCTCTAACCATCGATGTGGCCTGTTTCGAGGTCCCCAGGTCCAGGAGGACGGTAGCTCCCACATACCTCCAGTCTCTGTTACGTTCTTCGGGCCTCAATTATGTCGCGTGATTTCCTTGTCCTGAGCTTCATGGATCATACCATTTCAATGGGCTTGTATCCAACTACAAAAGTTCTGTCTTCTGTCCTAACCTGACTCGGGGCAATGAATACCTGCCACCCCGGCAAAGCGGTCGGTTATGCGCGTAGATTGAGTTGAAAACGAGATTTAGATTTGATCGTCATCGATTTAGCTCAACTTTCATACTGTTCCGATGTCTGCATCTGGTTGAATCATGGTGTTCCACTTATCGGCGAGAGCGTTTGCCCGGAATCAGCGGACGACGTTATCGTCTTTAAAGAGCTGAGGGTTCCCGATTAAACCTACCAAATTACTTTAATTTGATTTACATCTGAATGTTTCACAATCGTGTCGGTAGGCGAACAGTCGCGATCCGGTGTGGGTGATACAGGTTGAGGCTTTTGACCTTACCGGGAATTCGGGCTGGGGCAGTTGGTCTGAGCTCAAAACTGGCTATCACTTGTTTCGTTCCACATCGAGTGAGGGGAGCTTCTTCATCCTGCGCGAAATGTGGTTAAGTTTGCTTCGGAATACTAAAGTATGGGGCGGATGAGTCCACCTACCGTGAACGTCATTCAGAACTTGCAATGAATGGTGGAATGTCGTATGGGGTCGAAGCAACTCGGTGTACTGCTTCAGAATAAGGAGTTTGAGATTTTGTTCAGCAGCACATGCTGCAGCTGTTCGGAGACATCTTGGAAAGTGAATAGTGAACTGGTTGGCATTTGTTTAACGGACTGCTCTTGGTGTTTCGTTGGTCCGTGTGCTGACACTGGGAATGAGTCCACTTCTTGGTGGTCGTCATGACTTGAGGTCATTCTCGTGAACCGTTTGTTGGAACAGTTAGGCTATGGATTACCACTTCCACTGATTAGCTTTTATTATTTTCGTTTGTCGCTCGGTATGCGTTTCGCTTTAGCTGCTTAATTCATTCTGACTGACTTCACTAGCCTTGGAGAGGCTATACGGGGAAATTTTGTTCCTGCCGGCAGACTTACTTATTTGATCAGGACATCTCTGCTTCAGGTGGTGTCCCTCAACGCAGGAAAACTCTAGTTAACCGAGCCGACGAGTCAAGGTGATGGGGCCAGAAGCAATCAGCCTTCCATTATGCGTTTCGATGCGTTGTCGAACCGGAATTTTCAAGACCCATGGTAATGCATTCCCCTTGAACATTCGTGATTACTGTTTGCTGGGAACGCCGAATCTCCATCAAAACAGTGGAGGTATTCTCAGGCAACAGACACATCACAAATGGTGTTCAGCAGTGAACGGACAGATGTGGACACTTGACTGATATCTAAGCATGTGTATCGGTGCATAAGGACCAGGTGAGGGGGCAGTCTTCGAGGACATTTCTAACCCATATGTTCGGGACACCTTGTTTTTCTACCGGCGTTTATTGGTAGATTTTGCTTTACTGCAGCACATGGGATCATTATAAGGAAGCCTTTTGCGTGTGAAACTGAACTTTGTGGCTTCTTAAAACCACGATATAGGCATTTTAGCGGCACCTTTTTGCGTAGTTGGGCGATGTAGTGTTATGGTTGGTTAACTGACTGACCGTCCTAATGTTCAATATCGGTTAGCAAAATTGAAGGAAGTACATGTCAGTCGTTTTGAATATTCTTGTGGACGGTTTGTTTATACAGTTCCCAGATTGCGATAATTTCGCTTTAAAACATGATAAACCCACATTTGTTGCCTTTGCGTCAACTTATTTCATGTATATGCCCAATAGTATGCTACGCAAATGTTCTCTTCGTATGTTCACACATTTGTCTTTTTATACTTTTCTAGGAGACTAATATGCTGTTCCAACGACAAATAAACGTTTATCTCCGGTAGAAACTAACATTTCAGTTGGTCATTAAACTGAGAATTTACATGTAGTACAACGGTTTACTCTAGGCCGCGAAATTCGGGTATCCTCCCAGCAAGATTGGAGGCAAAGTAGCTCCGTAGGACCATCCTATTATCGTATGGGGACGGTGGGGAGTGTTGAGAGTGTGATGGCAATGAAGAGGGTGTAGCTCCATTATCCATGGGGTTCGCCTGTTTTCATTTCCACACAAGCGCTCATTTCTCATGGATATCAGAACTATTGGACTTGGTATGTCTGAGAGATCAACAAGTCAACTTAATTTAATCATCGGTGTTTACGGGCAACGTACGAAACCATTTTACACGCATGAATCGTATGAACCAGCCAACTGCTCAAGCAAATCAATCGGCCAGATAGTATGACACTTCGGAATAGAACCTTCAAAAGCAGAATTTTATTAGTCATTCTCTCAAGTGCCACTTTTTTCACGTGGACTGCATGAGAGAACGAGCAGGGCTATCCAGAACACCTAGCATCCACGTGACCTATCTGGTTAACAAGCCTGCATTAAGTCGTCGAGGTATGCATCAAAACAAGATCGATATTTTCTAAAGCCACGTGTGGGTGTACCTGACCTCGTATGTGGCTGCCGGGCACATGACCAGGATCTTCTAAGCAAAAAATCTTCGGTGACCTTAAACTTTGCTGCTGTTATCCGTACATGAATCTACCTCGGGTGAAACGTGGGACATTTCGCAGGCTTGTATGAACGACTCCATACATCACAGAAAGAGTCCCAGTTGTGCCTGTGATGCATCTAGTTGCAGTTGTGTATAAGCCAATTCACAAAAAGCCGTGCAAATATCAATGGATGTTGGTGTCCATTTAGTTCAGGTAATATTTATCAGCAATATGATGCATCGGTTTGCAAAATCAGTAGCAGCTTTGTGGCTTCGAACGACGAAAAACCTATCAGTTTTGAGTGAACACCTGGTGAACTTAGTTGAAGAGGAAACGGATGACTTATTTGGGAGTACTTCGACTATGCATTCGTGTAGGTGACCGTCTTGCATGCCAGTTGGGTGCAGTATATCCAAATGTTCCAACTTGGGCTTTCTTCCTACCAATCGTGCTGTATAAAAATGCTCTTTTAATCCTAGGAACCGAACAAAAGTAGTTCCAGTGGAGGGGTTATTCGTGTTGACGAATTCACGGATAATTACAACCCATCAGTGACCTGCGAAAGTGAAGTACCCTCACAACATGCCACTACAACAATTAGTGGTGGTTGCGTGGATGTTTATTCAAGGCTAGTAAACTCAAATGCAATATTTTCTCCATTTATATAACTACTACTGCCTAATGGACGGTAGCACCGATGCAATTTTGTAGTCATTGCAACTTATTTCGTGCTACCCCGTTCTTTGGGTCGGAGCGGTGATTCTGTTGCACTGCTCTAATGGTCCATGGGGACCACGGCGTAAGCTGTCAGCGGAACCTAACACCATGCCAACTCAGATGACGATTACCGACTGCGTCTCCTTTATATAACATGCTACTGCTGTCCGAGTTACCGTGAAATTGACGCCAGCCACAATGTGCATGCGTCAGGGTCTGGGCTTGTCACCATCCAGAGGATCTCGGTCAGACGCAGCTACGTGAGGCTGGCAGTCCAGTGCGTAAAACGCGTCTCAGACGCAATGTGAGGTAGTCGTGGCTGCAGAGGTCGAAGACCAGTTTTCGTCTTCCGCTGAGCATCTTCATTGGTGAAAGTTTTCACTGCAATGCTTCGATTTGATGAGAAACGGCTTCGTCATCATCATCGACAGCGTGACATCAGTGTTCAACACCGATGTTTCACTGCCTTACAACCATGATTTATTTGAAAGCCCAATTGTAAAAAGAATAAAGGCGGACAGGGAAGGGACTTGGTGCTAGCTTACCACAATCACTCCGAGGTGCCTACATCTCCACACATTCACTCGAGCAATCTATATAGAAACTAAACCAGAACGCCACTGACATCGATTGGCAGCCATATCGTTTTAATGTCCCCAACCAGGCGCAGTGAGGATCACGCGGATCCTGGAAGTGAGTAGCATCGACAGCCCCCAAGCGTTTCATGATCTCATTCATCTTCCAAATCGAGGGTTCGCAGAATACAAGAAATATTTGAATGCCTGCTGAATAGTAGAAATTGGTGGCAGTTCAATAGAAGATGAGTTTTCGCTTGCTTGATCTTATTTCTCTGAGTTCTTTGGTACAAGCGGAATGCCGCAGATAAAGGCGATAAAATGACATACGTGTGGTCAGAAGTGTGGGTAGAAGTGGGTAGAAGTGAAGGAAAGAAAATAGAACCTGCGACGTTCATTACTGTTGTCTTTTGCGAGGTGTCGACTGTAGTCTCTGTAATGAGAGCAAAGCCTTTTATTGACGTTATCGCTTGGTTTAAGGCTTTTCTTTGTACCAGAAACAGTTTTTTTTAATAGTAAAAGCGAGGTGTGGAGCGCACTTCATTGATGACCGACATTTCATGCGAAGATTATGCTAGCATGTGGAGATAAAATACGATTTGGAATTTCCGGGATAGTTTTCGTTAGCTGTCCAAGTGACTGTAACGGAGATATTTTGAGCATGGTTGTCTGACCATTCCCAAGGATTTTCGATGCATGGGCTGTCATATGGATTACTTAAATTTATACACGCAGTAAGCCTGGATTTGGCTGGTGACGGATTCAGGATGTTGCCAAGACTAGTTTTCGATTGAAATTGAATATCAGGAGACCAAATCCTGTAATGACGTAATGGGTTTCAATCACGACAAGACGCGCAGTGGTTTGACTTCCGATCACTTCACGAAACTCCTGATGATTGTAAAATCCGGTGATGCCAAAATTACTTCACGCCCCTATCACCCTTGTTTTATTTGTCTGTATGCTGCACTATAACATCCAAAGCCCAAAATTTCCCTTAAGTGTACATGCCAAGAAATAAACCGCGAAAAGCTTTGTAAAACCACAAGATCTTAATCGTTCGGGCGCATGCTAGGGACGACATGGCCCTAGTGGTTAGAGTGCGAATTTACTGACCGGAAGGTCCGTGATTCGAACCGTACCTCTGCCTCCCGATTTCCCCTGCTTAGGCTTGGGTACCCTGGCAGTATCTCAGCCTTCGTGCTTCCTTCGGGTGGCATGGCAGTTAGGCGCCGGAAAGATGCTACAGCTGAATGCACTGTATGCTAGGTAAATGAGTATATGAGCATAAGGCGTCTAGTTATTGGTCTTGGGATTCATAAGCACTAGACAGTTCGAATGTATACATAGGGAATATCAGAGACTGATCAGTTGAAGCTGTCGCTGACAGCGGCTTTAACTGTCAGATGCCCTAGTGGTTACTTTGTTCGACTGGAACTACCTGCGTTCCTAAACACACTCGCTATTGCACTAAATAAGCAGGAAGCCTCCTCAACCAATGACAACGAGACTGGATAGTTTCTGCACTGTTTGTCACCATTTCAGTTGTGTCCGGATGTTGTTCTGATTACTGGATAGGGTTTTCCGTTTGGTTTGAAACGAGTCCTCCAGGTAATCAATACACTTTCCAATGCAACAAGATGAACTACCTGTATAAGAGCACGACAAATTACAAGGATGACTAAAACGGTGATGGTAATCGAATTGTCGTCCGTTGCCGGATCCTAGGTTTCATCTGTATAACCATCTATGATACCGTTTGCACACCTAAAACTGACCAATCGGCCGAGTCTCATCAGGTCTTATAAAAAGTGCTAATCAATATGGTGGAGATAGTGTATCGGCTGTGTTTATGGTACAAACGTTTTGAAGAGATACACAACCAATAAATCTGGGTCTAAGAGAAAAATAAAAAATCGTTCAGCTGTACACTCTTCCGGTGCCTAGCTGCCATGCCACCCGGAGAAAGCACGAGGGATGGGATACTGTCAGGTTGCCCAAGCCTAGACAAGCGGAGTCGGGTGGCAGAGGTCGGGTTCGAACCACGGACCTTCCGGTCGGTACATTCGCGCTCTGACCACTTGGGCCATCTCGCCCCGAATCTGGGTCTATGAGACAGGATAGCTTCATCAATTTTCCGTCCATATTGATGAATAAATCAGTCGACTGTCTTTCTGATTCTGTGAGAATTTGTTATCTAGAGGAAATTCGCTTTGGGACAAAGGAATGTTGCGCTTTTAGAGTAGTCGTCTAGAAGGGGTTTTTCATGTTGTGGAGTTGCAGTTTCCTCATCATGACTAATGTAGTTTGTTCAGCAGTCAGTTTGTTGAGAATAGGAACACTACTCATAAAACTGCGGAATACCTTTCGACAGCCTAGGTAGATAGGCGCAGTCCCAGCGCTACTGTCAGCTCAGTCCCAACTGAGTACCTCGTTTATGATATTCATATGAAATTGGAATGAATCTGCTGTTAGAACCGAATTCATGTGCAAATGTGCGTATTGCGTGAATAGATGAACATTCGGTGCTAAGGCTGCGACAGATTCCATGATTATCGATTCCTCAAGTACTGTAACTTTCTCGGAAATTTATTTTTTGTACCTAATGCATTATCTGCACAGGTTTAATGGTCCCCTTATATGATCCGTATTCGAAAACGTGAGGGTACAAACAGCCAGAGCTATCGACAAATACGCTCATTTGCAAGTCAGTTTGGTTTTCACGGTAGACTGAACTGAATCTCTCGTTTATGATGTGCTTCAACTGAATGTGCTGCACAAAGACCACCTCCTGTTTCAGTCGGTACGATATTTGAGATATCGCAGTATATTTTCACAAAGGAAAGTACTCACAAGTTAAGTTCACTTTCAGTGAGGCATTTATTTGGTTTTCCGAGAATACCGTTCTGCGGAAAGGCTATCCGTAGGAACTTGTGAGAAACTGACATCTTTCAATTCATGCTGAAGATGGGCTGGGTAACTTTAGAATTGAAATGAGCACGCGAAAAATGGTGGGCGGTAGGTTCAAAATTTGTCATATAGATGCGTTCTCTATCTTGGTGGCTATTCAGAAACCGCTAACTCCCGTGATGTTTCACATTGTTCTGAGCAAAGAGAACTCGTTTTTTAAGGAATCCCAAAATGTGTACAGTTTCTGCCGTTTGGTTTAGTTCGCATTTGGGGCAACTATCCCAAAGTTCCTCCATCTCATCGCCTAAGAAGCATAAAATTAAACACCCAATCGAGCTTACTGGGGTACAAACATCTTCCATTCACTTTTCACATTACTGCGAGATTCCCTTTAATCTCTTTGGAGAAATAAGGCTTTGAGCTCAGATTTTAGTGAGCTTTTTGCAACACCCCATGCTATTTTTCTCAAGTGAATGTGCCATCCAGAATCAGAGACACTGGTATACTTCTGCCGATGCATGTCGGGCAGGCCATGAAAAATCCACGTGTGCCTCGATGATCGAAGTTCAGCCACGAGTACGATGAATTTATGGTATTCATAGTATTTATTTATTTGTTTGTTTATTTATTTTTTTTATATTTATTTATTTATTTATTTATTTATTTATTTATTTATTTATTTATAATAATGACGATTTCCAAAGTACTTGTTCCCTAAAACAATTTTCGGTTGATTTAGAAGTGGTGTTAAATCACAGAAAACCGTGTCTAGTGTTCAGTGCCTGCTTTCTGAACTGTCATTCTACCGTTGACAAGGAATTTATCTATGATGGCTTTATTCAGCGAATTGTGCTCTGGAAAATGAGACTGAAACTTGGGGAATTGCGTGATGTCCAACTGTCCTTTTATTTCTTTACACACACGGTCCCTGATACGGTTACTACGAACATTCACACATTCGTTGGTTGGATTGTGAACCGAAAGAAAAAAGTTTAGTCTGATAGACTGTAGACTCATTTGTTTGAGCAAAGAAGAACACTGGCTTTTTTAGGGCCTACAGAATGGTTCAGGTTCTGGGAGCCTGGTAAAAAGTACATGGTACTACACGGGGCATTGTGGTAAGGCAATTTTTCTTGAGGCCTCAAAGCACGGGAAGGATCAAACGCGAATCTGAGTTTACTGCTAATGTGCAGCCGGATCTATGGTGTGGGTTCAGCGTATTCAGTTAACTCAAATAGATCTCATTCTTCTGTTTGTTATTGTGCAGTGCATATGCACCTTACATGATAAGAAAAGGAGCACCCTTACTGCCATTTTTTTGTCTTAAGATTGGAAATTGCTGTTTGTCAAATTTCTACCTGAGTTTATATCAAAAGAATAAGTGAACTGTTAGGTACGACGGTAAATGGCATCTAGAAAGCACCGAAGACTTCCGTAAAGATAGATGCTCATCTGGTATACTCTAGCCTCGAACTAGCTCTGTAGATTTGAGCAACCTTTGGTAGTGATTAAACGTCGTGAATAACTCGACGCGACCCATAGCATAGGGGAAGAACTCTGAATCAAAAGGTTTTATCCACATGCGCTCAATCATGGTCTTGCGTCATGTTTTGAATGGATGTTTTTCAGTGCTTTTTTTCCAGTTCGCCGCCTCTCCTGATACAAGAACTCAGGAATTCGAAAGTGATGGAAATGTTTGACGTTCAGTTGTTTGATTTATGTGAACAACGGGTAAGTTAAAGTGGTTCTGCAAAGGTGGTTTGAAATAGTTCGATAATTCAGCTCACACAAATGGTATCAATTGTTTTCAGTTCTAGCTAATTTACAAGTGGGAGAAAGGTTATACACAAAGGGAATCTCCTGCAAGAGCGATCGTCCGTACAAAACGTCTACAGCAATATCTTTGTCAGCCATGAACTGATTTCGTACTCCCCCTCAAAAGGAAGGCATTTCCGAGCGAGATCAATTTTTCCATTTCCGCGTAATAGGCGCTTGCTTTTCACTGTTTATTTAAAAAAAGAATATTTGATGGAGCATCTAAAACACACCCGTTAAAAGTAAAGAAATATTTTGGTGCCGTCTGTGTGTGAAGCAAGAATGATTGTATACAGCCCGAAGTATTTAGGTTTGCCGCTTAAGGAGGTAGACTAACTTTTGGCAAGCAGACACACCAAAACGTTTTCGTGAATCAATAAATCAATGTTTTGTCTGGAATTTCGGTAGCTCTGGTCTAGCTATGTAAACTTCGTAGTATCCATTTGTTGGCCTGGTTTCTCAGACAATTCGCACAAGTGACTCATTGGGCGTGTCCATATGAAATTTACTTTTCGTTGATAGAAACTAGGTGATTGGAAAACAGGGAATATCCAATGAGTGGAATCACTAAATCAAGATAATAACGAGGTTGTATGATCTCAAAAACTAGGCTTGTTTATATTTCGGCTGAAGAAATCTTCCTTGTGAACGACCTAATTAATGCAAAATTTGGACGATAAAGTATAGAAAATATGACTCCAAATTTCGTCTGCGCATATTCTTCTTCTGGACATCCATTTTTCAATGACGAAAATAGAAATTATTCTTAACCATAAGTAGAAGACCTCTGTATTTAGATCAAGTGAGTTTGCGGGCTTCAACACGAATAAAGTTATTCCAGTTGATTATGCTTGTGGTTTGTGGCATGCAGCGAAATACGTTCTTCTTAATGATACCAGTGAAACGTGACGTCCGAAGTAAAGCACACTTAGGAACAAGAAAGCACATGTGGCCTACAAGTCAATCGATTAGCTGGTATGCGATTCGTGAGTATTTTTGTCATGATGTTCTTCATGCCTTCGTTTCAGAGGACAGTATAGAGATGCAGGAATGTGCAGGCTTTCTTGCATTGTTTGTCGAGACCAGATGGCTGTAGATTGGTCATCACACCTAGATTTGAAGGTTCAATCAATTTGAATGTTCAATCTGACCCGGTCACTAATGATTCGTGAGCTGTGTTCGAAGCCCTAGCAAATATTTCTAACCAATCTTAAGTAGGCTTATGATCTGGAACATCAACAGGGTATTTTCACCAGATACCTAGCCGAAAATCAGTGATCCGTTGCACCAGGATGGAAAACGAGGGTATGTTTGCTAGTTACTCTCACTTGCATACTAAGTTGGTGTTGACGAGAGGATCAACGGAATCCAGCTGAATCTGTCGTTCATGGTGATCTCCTTCAACTGAATGTGCTGTACACGACCGTCTCATGTTTGATTTGTAGGATATTGGGATATCGCAAGACACTGTCTAAATACAACACACTGATTCAAGAATCACGTCCGGTTTGGGTTCAGGTTGATGATGAACACCCAGAATGGCGAAACCGGTCGTCGGTTGTCGAAAACTTTTCAACAACCTTAAGGGTAATGTGTCACATCTGAAGGATAGTGTTTCAAAAACGACTGCTCACACATACTAAAAGCAATGGTTTCCTAAATCATTCGGTACACTGTTGTATGACTTGGAATCTTTTCCAACTTACGGGATGAGGAAATGTTCCGGTCATAAAGTTCTGGGGTGCGAACCAAGACACATTTCTATCTCTTACCATAAGTAAGCAGGCGGGTGAAATATCTGAACAAGACAGTACAGAGTTTCTCACCTGTTACATCATCTGAGGTTGGCTTATATTCTGTCTTGTGAATATGGTGAAAGCTTAGTTAACACGCACAGGCTGTCTTGCACTGAGAACGAGTGAAGTCGCTTAGTCTGAACAAAGTACATGTTTACTCTACGGGAGTGAGGGATGCTCGGGCAGGTACAAAGTGCTGGTGGGGAGAAGCTCCAAACTGTGCTCCTTGTATGAAACGTAGGATGAACATTGCACGCATGACGATTCAAGTTCGTCAGATCAGTTTATCGACTGTAAACAATGTAACCAGGGCACGCCGGTTCCAGTTGCTGCAATCGAGGTGGCTGAAAAACTGGAAAACCGAGGAGATTCAGCTAGAAATTGGGAACAATGGCATGGCTAGTTAGTTGACACTGAATCTCTCCA